GGGCTTCAGTAACACCTCGCCATCTCACTCTCTTCTCTCCACCCTTCTCTTTTACCCTGAATACACCACTACACATAACCTTTCATTTACTCATCACACATTCTCCTACATGTCACCCTCACCTCGGACAACCAACTCGTCCTTTCCCGTTTCAATTACACTCCATCAACTGGACTCGCCTAGCCTCGCCTCGCCTCGCCTCGCCTCGCCTGGCATGGCCTCGTGCGTCATGTCCCCAAACCGTCTACTCACCCTATCTCTAATCAAACACATCTCCACTTCCTTCACCTACATATTTCTTGGTCGATAGCTTCTTGCATCCTTGGTTGCTTCGTTACCAGGTCACAGTTCCTCCTCGCTTATTCTTTCTCACCTTCTCATTTCATCTCATCTTCAGTATCGAGTGGGTGGCAGTGGCAGCTGTTGATGATATATGTGTGGAGATTGTTGCAAATGCTATTCGTGACGCGCCAACTCTCTCAAGCATCACATGGAAGCACTGACTTGATTGAATTAGTCTTCGAAATCAGGATCTTGTTCAAGCTTTATGCTGAGTGCAGTGCAGTGCAGTTCAGTGCAGTGGAGTAGATCTCCACACTGGTTTCAGATTACTGCACGAAGGCGTGTCTTGCTGTCTTTCTGATCCTGGTTTTGACGTTTTCATCTGTGCCTGTGCCGCTGCCTGTAGTTGAAACGATGCTGCCTAGATAAGTGTACGTGAAAGAGACTACTTCATTTAAATTTCTCCTGTTAATAGTAATTGGTACTTGTCGTTGATGCTGTTGTTGGTTGGGTACCTTCATCACATCCGGATTCTCTACATTCATTTCAAGGAAGTCCTGTCTTCGCTGCCCTACCTCTCCTGTCAAATTATCACTTTTCGCTCCTACATCCTACAGTTCATGCAACATAAGACATCAGACATAAATCATCATGGACGAAATCCAAAAATTCTAGGCTCTTATCATCCACCAAACACCGTACACACATCTTCTCACACCTCCTCACGCTTGTCTGCTGCACGATACACTCCACCACAATCACAAAGATCATGAGTGATAGTAGGCAGCCTTGTCTTACTCCTCTCATCACTGCACTTCAAAGGCGTCACTCAGCTTTCCATTATGGATCACTTCGCAAGTGGCGTCTTCATATGGCTGCTGTTGAATGAGGTTGATAAAGATTTGTGACACTAAAAGGGTTGTGTTGAAGCAACTATCAAACTGCTTCTAGGTCGACGCTGTCGAAGGCCGGCGTTTTCGAAGTCGATGAAGTTGAGGTAGAGGGTTGACTGGCATTCTATACTCTGTTCAATGATGCTGCCTAGCGTAGTGTTGCAACTTGCTGGACACATGATTTATTTTTACTGAAGTCAGTCAGCCAGCCTGTTCCGGTCGTAGTTTTGAATCCAGAGCATCCTTTAGTCTCTTCAGGATGATGTGGCATAATATTTTGCTTGCTTCGGATGAACAGGAGCATGATCCCTCGTCAGTTCTTGCAAGGTCTTAGGTCTCCCTTCTTTGGGAGTTTGACAAGGAGCCCTTCTTCTAATCTGCAGGTACCTTTCCTTTCTTCCTTCCAAACCTTCTATGGTGGTAAGTCCACTGTTGTCTCTGTATCTGCTTTCAATGTTTCTGGCGGAATTCCATCTGGTACTGCTGCCTTTTCGGCTTTCGGAAACTTCGTGGTGTGGCTTTCAGGACTTCTGCTTTAGTCGGAGTGTTTGCGTTCACTGGCAGTTCTGTGGCTACTGGTGGTATTTCTTGACGATCTGCAAGTTGTGGTGGTGGTCGATTGAAGTTTTTTGAAGTTGTCAGCCCATTGTTTCCTTTGTCTCTCCTCTTTGGTAACTAGGTTTCCTTCATCATCTTTTATTAATCTTATTTGTGTTGATCTCTTCCCTTCCAGATAGTAACCTGATTATTTGATATAATGTTATCAGGTCCCTTCTATGTGCAGCCTATTCTGCTTCACTTGTCAGTGTGTCGCAGAAGTGTCTTTTGTCTTCGCGCGCACTCTTCACTTCTTTGTCTAGTGTTTTATACGTTGTATTCAGTTCTTCTTCTCGTTGTGCATCCTTGCACTGGTTCATCTTCTGATTCACCATCTTTCTCTCCCTCCTCTATCAGCTTCCATGTACCCGTGAAATTTTATGAGGATTTCATTTCTAAGGTAGCATTCATCATCATGGAAATGACATCAGTTGGATAATTTTTAAAAATCTGGAAGCGCTGGAAAGCTGCTTCGTCCTAGTATGCAGCTCCTAAGTAGTACGGATCCACACAATCTAGAATAGGATTCTCAATCAAGTTATGGGCAGAAAATTATCGACCAGTAGGTGGGTTTCAAACCTCAGTGTCCAAAGTGAACTAAATTATAAACCATAAAACGTAACGATTATCTGATGTATGTTGTATTAAGGGCCTCCAAATCTCATTTCATATGTCACCTGATTTCTAAGAAAAGAAAAAGCTGGAAAGATAGGTTGTATGTCCCTACGTTGTCTTTGTACGAAACACTGACTTCTTTATGTATCTACAAGTGGGTTTGGTATCTTGAGAGTATTCTAGAAGGATGTTATCTCTATCATTTTGACTGACTGAGATAGTCATGGTTTGTCAGACTAGTACCGATACTGAAGGATTATTGAAAATAGAAACGCATCACGAATTCACGTAAAAGCCACCGGAGCAAAGCTCATGGGGTGACTGAAATGGAATAAAAATTTGGTCAACGATCGGACGTTGTAGCTCAGTAAGTGTGGAGCATCGAGGCCGAAAACCCAGTGGTCGCTGGTTAGAATCTGGCTGCGGTCCGACTGTTCATTTCATCTTTAGTCCTTACCCAGTACTAATACTAATCTACCAAACGACGGCTTCTATCTCATATATTCAAGCGATAATCGATATGATGCTCTTCCTGCCTCTGTTTCACTTAGATTTAGATTAGGATGAGAAATCCTGACTGGTTGGCAGCCAGTGTGATTACGACCAAGTGATAGTAACGCGTCACGAATCGACATAGTAGTCATCGGGAAAACCCTTGTTGATTGAAGTGAAATGAAAATGTGGTCACTGGTCAAGGAGTCGTTAGTGAATAGCATGCGAACTAAAGACTTTGATGGATAGTTGTGCCATCTCACTAACTGGCAGAAGTAGAAAAGTGTAGACCCTTTAACACTGAGTCAGTGGCTGAATGTTTAACAAGTTTACCACGAGCGAGACTTGAAGGTTCTCAGTCCAAGTCGTGGGGTGTGGATGAAACAGCTATCCAGTGTCCTCAGATTAATAATAGTTCTCCAAATGATACCAGTCTGTGATGAATACTACCTTATAACTGTATAACTGTACGAATAATCATATGATTTTTCTGGAAGAAAATATTCAGCATAATCTCATTACCATTGCAATTACTAATCACTTTGATGAGTTTAAGAAAACATATTGTACAAAGTTATAATTTATCATCATACAAAACTGGACACTTTAATAAATTCTGTAGCGTTACATACTCATGAAACCGAGGTTCAGAAGCTTTTACTTATTGACACCAGTCAACAGACATCCATCAAAGTGTAACGTGACAAAATTCATTTAGTAATCAGGAAGGATTAAACAACATGAAGTTGATTACTCTTCAATTTCCAACCAATGTAACCAAGTATTTTTCACTTGTATTGAAAGCAAAAAGTCCTTTTACCAAACTTTATTCTATTCAAAATTAGTAAATAACCTACCCATTGATGATTAGCTGATTCAATGACACCATATTCATCGCCAGTTCTACTGTTATTTTTATCTGAGGTTAATTTTTCACCAGAAATCAACAGGATATAATCCTACAGGTAAACATAAACTGACACTGTCTACCTTCTTTGCTTTTTCTCTTCCTACCTCTCTGTCGCTGACTCTTTTCTACTTTTTCTTTGATTAAATTTATAGTTGATTAATGACTGAATAGTTGGCACAAATAGATATATCATACATATAGTTTTAGTATAACTGTTTTTATATGATACCGTCGTTGATTGGACAGAATTGGTCGGTCTCTATTGGCATATGGGCTCCTGTGTGGATGCCTCGATATTGCCAGTGTTCCAGTTGTGTTGATGATGGATCTTGGCTAGCAGTAGAATCCAGGATGCGCATTTCGTCCTATTTGGGACTCGCCAGCTGGATGTACCTGCTTCCCAGTTAGTGATGTTTTTCCCACCGGGATTCCGACTCAGGAGTGATCGCTTCAAACGTGAGAGCGTTATTCACTACACCACCGAGCCATGATGGCCACAAGAAGTCGCTCAAGAAGTGGCTATCTTGGCTCGGTGGTGTAGTGAATAACGCTTTCACGTTTGAAGCGATCACTCCTGAGTCGGAATCCCGGTGGGAAAAACATCACTCACTGAGAAGCAGGTACATCCAGCTGACGAGTCACAAGTAGGACGAAATGCGCATCCTGGATTCCACTGCTAGCCATATTCTATCACTGACATACATATAGTGTTATTGTTTGTGGCTATAGTGGATATTATGGTTCGGCGGTTTAATAAATAACACTCTAGCCTCTGAAGCAATCGGTACCGGCTTCGAATCCTGGTGGGAACAATATCACTCACTGGAAGGTAAACATGTAGCTGACGAGTAAGTACCAAATAGGATGAAACGCGTGCCAAGCAGGATTCCACTGTTAGCCATTATTCATCATCAATAATCATAAATATGGTTTGAAGTTTGTAGGAATTTCATTTTGTATTCACTATGTATTAACATTCACTCAAAAGTCATTAATAATCTCGAAAGCACTTTTGATCCTTGGAAAAAGGATGAACTCAATGAATGTGTTAATCATTGAGGCTTTCAATGACTCTTCAACTTCAAAAATAATGAATAATTAAAGTATATATATAATAAATTTTAAATGAATAAATTGTTTATCTACCAGCTAATCATAATAATAGTAACCAGTATTGTTATATGATTATATATATATAGGCGTTTACTTACTCGATATTTGGATAGATCAATTCTTATAGCAATGTATAAACTGTCCAACAATTTAATAAATTTCTCTCGCTAAATTCATTGTTAGAAAGAACAAAAAAAATTGATTAGCTTAAAGTAACAAAGGGTTAAGTAGTTCTCAATGAAAATTATCATAATTACTTATTACTATACATGTAAGGAGTAATCTCTGTAAGATGAATTACTTCCCGTACTTAAGTCAAGGAGTTGAGGCGCTTGTCTCTGTTCTTGAAAATAATGAAGTTAATAATTATCTACATGTGCTCAAACTCTCATTGAAAGCTTTCAGAGACTTTAAGCAATTTACATATGAAAGTAGTAGAAGTACTTTGAAGGCTACCACAGTTTTATAATAAAATATTGTTTAGAATGTGCCTTTTTAGACTATATTCTTGTGGAACAAGCTAACTGGGACAAATTCTGAGTCCTGGATAATCAGCTGGTTGTATACCTATTTCTCTGAAAGGAAATAATATACTATTCACACAGGGAAGCACTCCACCTCATTGCTTACTGTGACTGGTGTTCTACAAGGTGCTTTCTTTTTCCCCCTGTCCTCTCTCTTTCTTTCCTCTATGACTTATCATCTTCAGTTTGCATACTCATCTACTCTTTAATAGAATGTTCTCAAATGAGTAATTTTCTATCTACTGTTAAAGGATGGTTCTGCTTGAATGGTCACTTGATCGATCCTGTTGATGATTACGCACTAGAGAATGTTAGATATGTGATTTATCTCGCCGTGTATCTTTTCTCGAACTTTTCTTTTATATCTTACTAATTTCTTAGAGAATTTTCCGACTAACTTGTTATATTAGGAAGCTGAGAGTATCTAGTACAACTCAGACTCTTCTCTTGCGCTTGATAAACTCTTGAATCTTGCCTATTTTCTCCTCTATTATTCCTCATTTACTCTTTCCTTGATTGTTAAAAAAAGACTGTACTGTATTACGTAGACCATTTGAAAATTTTCATCAGAACTAGAATGGTGTACCTTTACACCTTGTAATTAAAACCGTTGTGGACAAACAATCTTAACTCATGTAAACATCAAACGACCAGCATTCTCTTCACTCAAAGCTAACTAGGTGATAATCCTCATCCAAGACCAAGAGTAAGGAAATAAGACTTTATGCACATATTGCTAATTATAAAGACTCTATAATGCTTTATTTAACCTCGTATCCTGTGGAAGGAAGAAAATGTTAGAAAACAAAGTTATTACTCAAGTTCGACAAAACAATAAGAAGACGTAAATTGTCTGAACTGTGTAATGTGCATTTGCGCAACACATTTCGAACTATCTGATCACACACACACACGTACTTGTCATAGGTATTTATATAAAAAAACTCATGAAGATAAGGGGTGAGAAAATAAAAAAGGGTCAGTTAGGAAGGCTGAATCAAAGGCCGAATAACAATGAAAATCAATAGGGCGAAAAAATAATAGTACATCGAACTTGGTTTTTCAACAGTTGAATTCACCAAGGAAGGTTTAATGTGACAACAAATTGTTTATGTACACATAAAAGTGATTTCAACTTCCTAATAGCTAAGGCTTCAACAAACTTAAGGTTCCCTCTCCAACATGTTTTGTAAATAGGTGTAAAAGAAGTAGCCATATCAATCTTGTGACCTGTCTCAGCGATATGTTTAGCGATCGAAGAACTTGGACGTCTGCTACCAACATTTATAGGTTCAGGTGATTTAATTTGCTTCTGAAGCCACTTTGGAACATTTATCAACATTTATCAGGTAGAACAAAATCAGCAGAGCGTCAAAACTAGAACTGCAGTCAGTCCCAAAGAAGGATGTCTCCATCAGCCTTCCATACAAAGGTGACTCTCAGAGTGCAATCCTTAAGCAGAGACTTAACGCTGATGTTAGAAGGACTTACTATGCAGCCAGGGTTCGAGTAATCGAAACCACGAAGCCCTTATATTCCCCCAAACCCCCACAGCATGTGAACGATAATGTCACATCCCATTGTATCTACCACTTCAAATGTACGTGTGGTGACACATACATAGGGAGGACTAATAGATCCATGCAAGTAAAGGCCTCGGAACATATTCCAAAGTGGCTTCAGAAGCAAATTAAATCACCTGAACCTATAAATGTTGGTAGCAGACGTCCAAGTTCTTCGATCGTCAAATATATCGTTGAGACAGGCCACAGGATTGATATGGCTACTTCTTTTACACCTATTTACAAAACATGTTGGAGAGGGAACCTTAAGTTTGTTGAAGCCTTAGCTATTAGGAAGTTGAAATCACTTTTATGTGTACATAAACAATTTGTTGTCATATTAAATCTTCCTTGGGTAAATTCAACTGTTGAAAACCAAGTTCGATGTACTATTATTTTTTCGCTCTATTGATTTTCATTGTTATTCGGCCTTTAAGTCAGCCTTCCTAACTGACCCCTTTTTATTTTCTCACCCCTTATCTTCATGAGTTTTTTATATAAATACCTATGTCAGTCTTCGATGAATAACAACTTGAAATATTTCCAAATCTCCACAACCCCTCAAAATATAAATACCTATGACAAGTACGTGTGTGTGTGTGTGATCAGATAGTTCGAAATGTGTTGCGCAAATGCACATTACACAGTTCAGACAATTTACGTCTTCTTATTACTTAAGTATTATTAATCTAATTGCTAATGTGATTGTCTACCTAAAATCATCTTTGATTTTCAAGAAGGTTATAGATGGAGTAAATATTCTTTTGATCTTCTATATATCCAATTTCTACTTGTTCCACTTGAAGCTATACAACATATTGGAAATTGTGTACAGTGTTAGCTAAATATCATTCAGAATAAACCCATTACTATTATGATGATTATTATTATCATTAGGGTAATTGTTAGGCGGAAGTTTTACATTATTTATTTTCTTTAGAGAAACATGAGTAGTTGAATTCTCAGTGGTAACTTCCAAGCCATAAGATCTGAAAGTAACTTGATAGAATCCCATATGAGTTCTTCAGTGACCACTGGTGAAGAATACCAATTTGGGAAGAAACAAATGTCTATTGTTCCTCTGGATGAATATTTTTAATACATTGAACATTTCCATTTAGACATTTAGAAAGAGATTGATTGAGCGAAGAAATATATTCCTTTTCAATTAGGTCTTCATCTTGGGCTCTACACTAATATATGTGGGTTTACACTTTAATCAAATTACCAATCAAGTGGTGATGTTTCGGGAATAATGATGTAAGTAATCAATAGAGTTAGTAAAATAGGAAATATGAATATTGATAGAAACAAGGGGAAGGGGAAGAGGTGCACAAAATAAACCTAGAAATTACATCATGTTGACGGCCACGGTAATGAAAGTGGTCGAACAAACTTCTTTTGGATACAAAGGTTAAGTTTGTGAAGGTGGATTGCAATCGCCTCTGCTATGTGATGGATAATTTTGAAGGCTTTTCTAGTAACCACTTGATGTCCTGTGTCAACTAAGTGTGCAAGTATGGAGCTCTTTATAGTTCTAATTTGTCCCTTATTCAACCATGATGCGTGGTGTTCATAAATTCGACGATGCAACCGCCTCATTGTACGCCCAATGTAACTAGCTCCACAGGAGCAGTTGAATTGATAAATGAACATAGAAGTGGCAGAATCAGGCAGTTTGCCTTTATTTCTTCCACCTAGAATAGGGTGGTTGTAGAAGACTGGACATAATAACTGGGTGGCAAGTCTTCACTATTCAGTAAACCTTTTTGATTTCAATGTTAGCTCATGTACTGACTTTATTTCTGTTTTCATACTTGACAAACTGTACTATTACCTATCAAATTTATAACATCGGGATAGTGTACAAATTTGCATTTAAACAGTTCTAAGAATAAAATCGACGAAAAGATACTCTTCATTGAAGTACTCATGTCCTGATGAGTATCCTCGTACACTTTTCAAAAAAAGCAAGTGATATAGATGTTAGGAGAGATTAATTGAAGTTAGTTGATTACCTTGGTATGATTATTATTATTATTATTTTCCCCTGGGTTGCTAGTGGAACATACGGCTTCAGTAGAACGTCGTCACTTCACTCACTTCGCTGCAATCTTTTCAACCTCGCTCCACGACAGCCCACAAGCTTTCATTTCTTCTTCACACAATCTCCTTCATGTCACTCCAGACTTGGACGCCCAACTCGTCGTATCCCTTAGAGTTCCAGTCGATGGCTTGGCGTGACGCGTGATTTCCCCAACCAGACTTCTCAGTGTATGCCTAATCTATCTCCACTTTCTTCCAGTGCATATTTGTTGGGTGATAGGTTCTTGGTTGGTTCACTCCCAGAGTTCCCTGTTGCTTATTCTTTCTCGCCTTCTCATTTCATCTCATCTTCAGTATAGACTGAGTGGCAGTGGCAGCTGTTCATGAATGTCTGTAGTTTGTTGGAAGTGCTTTTCGTAACGTCCCAGGTTCCTGAACCATATTGCAGCACTCAATTGACTGACTTAGTGTTCGAAATCAGGATCTTGTTCTTCGTGCTGAGTGCAGTAGATTTCCACAGCGATTTCAGATTCGTGAAAGCCTGTCTTGCTGTCTTTCTGATCCTGGTTTTGACATCCTTGTTTGTGCCACCACGTGCAGTTGGAAAGATGAAAGAGACTACCTCCTATAGGTCTCTCCTGTTAATAGTGATTGGTGCTTGTTGTTGATGCTGTTATTGGTTGGGTACCTTCATCACATCCGGATTCTCCACATTCATTTCAAGGAAGTCCTGTCTTCGCTGCCCTACCTCTCCTGTCAAATTATCACTTTTCGCTCCTACATCCTACAGTTCATGCAACATAAGACATCAGACATAAATCATCATGGACGAAATCCAAAAATTCTAGGCTCTTATCATCCACCAAACACCGTACACACATCTTCTCACACCTCCTCACGCTTGTCTGCTGCATGATACACTCCACCACAATCACAAAGATCATGAGTGATAGTAGGCAGCCTTGTCTTACTCCTCTCATCACTGCACTTCAAAGGCGTCACTCAGCTTTCCATTATGGATCACTTCGCAAGTGGCGTCTTCATATGGCTGCTGTTGAATGAGGTTGATAAAGATTTGTGACACTAAAAGGGTTGTGTTGAAGCAACTATCAAACTGCTTCTAGGTCGACGCTGTCGAAGGCCGGCGTTTTCGAAGTCGATGAAGTTGAGGTAGAGGGTTGACTGGCATTCTATACTCTGTTCAATGATGCTGCCTAGCGTAGTGTTGCAACTTGCTGGACACATGATTTGTTTTTCCTGAAGCCAGTCAATCTGTTCCGGTCATAACTTTGAATCCAGATGTCTGGCTACTACATGGATATTCACGATGCTATATCGATCATAGTGACTAGCAGAGGAATTCACACTATTTGTGACTCATCAGTTGCAGACTAGAACCCAGTACCCATTGTTACAAACGCCAGAGACTTATCCAGCAAGCGAATGGGCCATGTTAGACGTCTCTGGTTTTTGAAGTGATGAGTGAAAGGGTTCAAGGCTTGGTAGGAATAACATCACTCCACAGTGGGGTGCAGGTACATCCAGCTGACGGGTGTCAAATAGGACGAAACGCACATCTAATATCCTATTTGTTCATCAGTAGTTCTGTTGAACGGTCTATTGTTGACAAATAAACATCTTTTTTCCCATAATCCATACACTTTAAGTCAGTAGCAAGGAAAACACTATGAAGTTATCGTACATATGAATGTCTGAAATAAAGACAGTGATAAAGGAAAATAGAACAACAATATTGTAATAAGATACTAATTATAAAGGGTTTAAAATAAACCTACACCAAAATTGCTTGCACTGAAACGTTCACTAGCTGTTTGACTATTCGATGAAGTTGTATGCGCATAAAAGGCATTAATATTAGCCAAAAGAACAGACAATTGAGCAGGTACACCAGGACAATTATACTTTGCGGTTAAACATGCAAAGTGTCTAGAAAAAAAAACATATACATAAAACTGAGTATCATGCAGTTAAGATGAAAGTTCTATACAATTCCTTCCTCTGACAAATTTAAATAAAGTGAGAATGACAGTTCCAGTAGGATAGGACTATTATTATATTATTATTTGACCCTTGGGTTCCTAGTGGAAGATAGGGCTTCAGTAACACCTCGCCATCTCACTCTCTTCTCTCCACCCTTCTCTTTTACCCTGAATACACCACTACACATAACCTTTCATTTATTCACCACACATTCTCCTACATGTCACCCTCACCTCGGACAACCAACTCGTCCTTTCCCATTTCAATTACACTCCATCAACTGGACTCGCCTCGCCTGGCATGGCCTCGTGCGTCATGTCCCCAAACCGTCTACTCACCCTATCTCTAATCAAACACATCTCCACTTCCTTCACCTACATATTTCTTGGTCGATAGCTTCTTGCATCCTTGGTTGCTTCGTTACCAGGTCACAGTTCCTCCTCGCTTATTCTTTCTCACCTTCTCATTTCATCTCATCTTCAGTATCGAGTGGGTGGCAGTGGCAGCTGTTGATGATATATGTGTGGAGATTGTTGCAAATGCTATTCGTGACGCGCCAACTCTCTCAAGCATCACATGGAAGCACTGACTTGATTGAATTAGTCTTCGAAATCAGGATCTTGTTCAAGCTTTATGCTGAGTGCAGTGCAGTGCAGTTCAGTGCAGTGGAGTAGATCTCCACACTGGTTTCAGATTACTGCACGAAGGCGTGTCTTGCTGTCTTTCTGATCCTGGTTTTGACGTTCTCATCTGTGCCTGTGCCGCTGCCTGTAGTTGAAAGGATGCTGGCTAGGTAAGAAAGCAGGTAGGTGGGTGAAAGAGACAACTTCCTTTCGATTTCTCCGTTGACGGTGATTGTCTCCTGGACGAATTCATTTTATTTTGACAGTTCTCATCACCTTCTCTGGTGAAACCGTCGTCAGTGGAGTCAGCTGAAGACCTTGCTGAATAGTTGTGTTATATTCCGAATTAACAAAATTAGAAAACTTTGGATCATTGAACTCTGACTCAGTGGCTGAATAGTTATCGTGTTTACCGTGAATCCTGAAGGTGCTGAGTTAATGGTTGCGTACTGTATAGGAGTCTCATACAGGGAGGAAACAGCTGTATAGTGTTCCCATTTCCAATATTCCTTCAGATGATATCATTCCATCATCAATTCCAACCTGAAATCAATAAATAAGTCACTACAAGCTATCAAATTGAATTTTTACTAGTTTGTTTTCGTTTGTTTTCACTTACATTATATCAATATTGTCTTTAGTGAAACAAGGTTGTCTACTATCCCCCATGATATTCCTGATTGTGGTGGACTGGATCATGCAGCAAACAGTGGGGAGCGAGAAGAGGGGAATACACTGGCTGGACTGCGGACAAGAACCTAGAAGATCTGGATTTCGCCAGTGATGACTTGTGCCTGATGTCACACAAACTTGAAGATATACAGGCGAAAACTAACAAGTTGACAGAAGATTCAGGGCAGCGAAGACGGGATTTCAAGTGAATATAGAGAAGACAGAGGTGATGAAGATACCGCACTAACAACAACAACAAACTCCAGTCACCATGAAAGGGAGAAACTTAAAGGAAGTAACCTCCTTCACCTATCTAGGAAGCACCGTTTCAACTACAGGCTGCATAGACGAAGACGTCAAAGTCGGAATCGGAAAAGCAAGACAGGCGTTCATTAGCCTAAAACCAGTGTGGAGATCTACTGCACTCAGCATGTGGAACAAGATCCGGATTTTCAACACCAAGTCAGTCAAGTCAGTGCTCCTTATGGTTCAGAGACTTGGCGCGTTAAGAAAGGGATTTCCAATAAATTACAGACATTCACCAACAGCTGCTTACGCTCGCTACTGAAGCTCAGATGGCCAGAAAGAATAAGCAACAAGGAACTCTGGAAACGAATCAACCAAGAACCTATCACGCAACAAATATGCACTGGAAGGAAGTGGAAATGGATTGGGCATACACTGAGAAGGCCGACTGGGGACATCACGCGTCAAGCCAGGCACTCGAGTGGAATCCCCATGGGAAGCGACGAGTTGGACGTCCGAGGGTGACATGGAGGAGATCGTGAGAGGAGGAAATGGGAGCCTGTGGGCTGTCGTGGAGCCAGGTTCAAAAGATCTCGGAGAACAGAGTTCGCTGGAGACGTGCTAGTGAAGCCCTATGTTCCATTAGGAACCCAAGGGACTAATAATAATAATAATAATAATAATATTGTCTTTATTTCAAGCCGATAACTTTATGTTGTAAACAGCTTATAAAAAGCTTAGAGATAAAGTGGAATCTTGCCTAAGTAACGAAGACTAACTGTCCTGAATACTTGTTTTGTTTCAGCTTTTTATATCACTCTCTTAGGGATCCTCAATGAAATGGCTGAAAATCGGTCACGGGGCTGTGAAGATGTATTCAGTCCTTGACATCTTCAAAAGCTTAAATATTTGCACTGATCGCTCTCTTCAAATTATCTATTCTCTCATATAACTTCACTTACTTTGATATGAGTCTTTTTCTATTCACTTGTTCTTTCTATACTACTGTGAAGAGGGCTAACTTGAGGTGATGAGGTCGTGTGCAAGGTTTTTCACTGATTTTGTTTGTCTATTTATGTTTTATTATATTCGCCTCTAATCTTTTCTCATATTCAACCTACATTACCTAGCAACACGTTATACGATAGCTATTAATCAGACATAAACATTACATTTCTGAACCATCTTAGTTGATGGAGGTTTAGAAATTCGTCAAATCACTAACTTCTTCTGCTTAAGACTCTATGCATAAATTCTGCATCACTGAAATGGTGGTATCACGAAACACAAAATATGCTACAAAGGGAACAGCGACAGAAAATTTTGAAGGATCCTGATATCTCTTATCCTTAATAACCACACCTGATAGATATTTAGAGGGATAGAAGGAAATGTTGCGCAGTACACTCAACCCTTTATAGACAATCGGATACCATGATGATGACAGAAATCACATAAGCTGGCGAAAGCAAAAGAATCACTGAACCACTGCTCCTGAATTGATTTTCTTAGCAAGCAAGTGATTTAGTATATTCAAACATCTCACCTCCTATCGTTAAATAATATATCAGCGGGAACCAGCCCTGCCGCAACAACTTACAATTGTGTGATGAGGAATGCACCCAGAAAATTTTCGAATAGTCACTTAAGCTATCTACAAGACTGGAGCTTTACAGAGCCTTCGCCAAGCACACCTATGACATCTGCGTGTTTTAGGTTTGCTACGGAGCTTTCGATGATCAGGTCAATTCCTGTGAAGTCAAACAACAAGTGGTAAACTTTCGTAAGTCAGACTGTGAATAAGTCAAATGAGAGTGAGGACAATGGACAGACATCCTTGAAGTACAGCATGCGATGCGTATAACTCCACTGATAACTCACTTTAGGCTGTAACAAACTCACTATTGCTAGAATGAGTAATGTGTTCAGTGAGAAATACTGTCATAAGATAACTCAACTGATGGGGTCTACTGCCACCTTCACTTCAAGAAATACAGATTGTTTCAGAAGCTGGTAAATGTACCTGTGTTCCAGGACCTGGTGTAAGGTGAGTATCTCATGGATACACCGACGATTAGTTGTTAAACTTGCTTGGCTTCTTTGCGTTTCCTGTAACGCAGATTCACATAGGCGTCTAATGGTTATAGAAACTAGAGTCTTAGATGATCTGCTTGTCAGATTGATTCCCATTTGGTAATCACAGGAGGATTTCTCTCCTTTCCTGAAGACGGGTACAATCAGTGACTGAAATCAGATGAGATCATATATATTTCACATACATAAGGTGAAACCTCAGTTGATTTCACCCATTAACGTAGATCATTGTCTTTAAAAGCCTCTGTTACTAGCTTACAGAAGCCTGCTGTCATTCTGTGACAGTTGGCGAACTTATCTCATTGTTACATTGAGGATTCGACGTGATATCAGGTAACAGAGTAATAACTTTGGGTTAACTGAATTGTTCTTCAGAATGCTCCATCCACCTTTTCAGTCATCTCCTTTACGAGTGAATTACAGATGCATCCTTCTTCCTTATAATCTCACCAACCATTGACTCTTTTTTCCTGGTTCTCTTTGATCAGTCTTGATAACCATCTTCTGTTACTTGTCATCATTCTCCTTTCCGTCTTATTAGCTTCCGGTATGCATCATTACTCATGTTTGTCAGGTAAACTCAGTCAATCCATAGACTAACTGGTTCGTTTCTTCATTGTACTTAAAGCATGCGACCATCCATATACTTATATCCACTCGTTTGAAAGAAACTGATGAGATCCACTGGACCTCGCTGACCTTATCCTCTAACCGACAGATGATACCTTGACCTGATGGCTGGAATTGCACACTACAGGATGGAATGCTTGTTTCCTGACATCCTACTATGCCATTAAGCTCTCTGGAATGGTGTTAGTAGCTTTGTTTAAGCAACACTTAAGTAAAAAATAGCTGCGCAAAACAGTAATCTGCAGTTAGCGCGAAGCTGAAGTTGACGGTTTCTCAGCTACATGGCCAACACTTGTTACCTTGACGTGATGGATGAGCCTGAGTGTCACAAAGACTGAACGAGCTACACTGTCTGGAACACTTGTCCCTTCAACTCCTACAATAACAGATAGGCATGTTGGGTCGCTGTAGGACGAAGAGAACCAATCAATATAGCATCAGTTTCTAGGCACTGAAGGTAGTCCGAAGACGAAGTCATACTGCTGGGTGGACACTTGTGAGGTACTTCCTTTGGATGGTCAGCAGGACAGTGCTGATACTGCTTGCTTTATCGAAAGGGAGGGTTAGAAAAGTCAGTCCTAAAAGAAGCACGCTTCTCCTTTTCTAGTGGCAAAGCCGTTTTTGACGGATTTTAGTGCCAGCCAGTCTCAATCGAATAACCCTATGAAGGTCAGTTATAACATACCTTCAGCAAATGGCCCATAGTTCTGTGCTGATGCAGAACTGACCCTCTTCATTTTCAGGTGCCCTGAAGAAACAATTTGTACGATGTGTGCAGCCAATAAATACCAACTATCCACATGCTTCTAGCAATAAATAAAGAGCAACAAACATAATCTACTCCGTTTACTTGAAATCCACTACGCGCATTTCGTCCTATTCCGGACTTGTCATCTGGATTTGTCTGCCTCCCAATGAGCGGTGTTATTCCCCACCAGGCATCGAACTCCGGTCTAATGGACAACGCTGTGGTGCTTGAAGTGTTTGGTACCGAGTTAGAGTCTCAGTTGAAACAACATTCAGTGGAAGACAGGTATATCCAGCCGACGAGTCCCAAATAGGACGAAACGCGCATGAAGCTGGATTTCACTGATAGCCACTATTCACCGTTAAGAAAGCACATTTCTTGACAGGATATCAAGTGTAACCGTTTACGTCCTGTTCAACTGAATGGATCTGTAAGAACTGGGTAGAACTGTGAGACTCTCAGATATTTATTCATAATCCTCACCTACGTGTCCACCAACTAAAGATGGCATGATGCAAAGGATGAATTCTATGGAAAGCTGCCAATTTTGCTACAGAAAGCAAGAGTTTCAAAATGTAGTCATTATGAGTTTAATGCACAATTAGGGAAGCTGAGCCAATCGAAAAGGCATCCTCCAGGCCAAAACACCGATAACTGTGATCGTCTCTTACAACCTTGTACTGACAGTCACTTGTTTCTGGTCAGCACTAACTTCAAAGTATAAGCAGGGACACTATCTCACATTGGCATCTGTTGGCATGAAACCAACGGTGGACACAGATAGACAATATTGCTATTAGCCACCATTTGAGAGGATCGGTGTGGCATTCATGGATTTCCTGGATAACCGGCTACAGCTACGATCAAGCGTTAGTATAGCCACCAGTAATACTCAGTCTATTGAAAGCTGGTACAGTATTAAGTCTGTTGTAAAAACAGTAGTAAAGACAGTTAATAACCTATATCTAAGGGTTAGCAAAAGTCACTGGATTTCTGCACCGTCTTTGAATTGATTCATGTGAGGAAAGTGATTTAAGAAGGCTATGATCACAATCAGGAGCGAAAACAACCCAAAAGTATATTGACTAAGAGTCTTCATAATGATGGTGAGCAGTGGTGGGTGGCGAAAGCGAGAGAGATAGGGAAGGCATCAGAATTAGTTATTATTCGACAACTATCTAAGCTTATTAAGGATACTGGTAAGAGGAATATAGTGGTTAGAGAGACCATCACTAAGAAGGATGAGAAAATGATAACTTTTAAGGATAGATAGCTAGAAAGCCTACCATTCAGCTGTAAATGGGGGGCGTCAGTGTCAGTCCTCCAACTGTCCTCAAAGTTGAGAAGGCTGTTTCGAACGTGAAACAACACTAAGTAGTAGGACCTGTCAGTTTGCCACTTGAAGGTTTTAAAGATAGAGGTCAGAAACTGCTATCGTAATGCAGGTAAAAAATAATCTATGGGAATCAAAAGTGCTCCTATCAAATTGGTCTACTTCAATATTCACTTTATCGTATAAGAAGAGAAGAGAGATGTTATCTTGTGGGAACAGTAGGAGGAATCAGTATAACTAACGTTGTATCCAAGATCCTTGGGTTCATAGGTATGAAATATCTAAGGAGAACTCGAGAAAATCAGACAGGTTTAAGACCAGGATGAGGGTGAATTGATCAGAGCTTCACCCTTCAACAGGTTATGGAACATAGGCATATTTACCGGCCACCGAAGCTGGCGATATTTGTTGACCTGAAGGGGACATTGGACTCTGTTGATTATGAGGTGTTGTGACAGTGTCTTAATATGAAAGGAGTACCAACCAACTATACAACACTGATCAGAGCTCTTTAGTCGAGACTACACAACCACTTAAGTGTACGTTTAGTGATATCACCTGAATTGACAACAACTGGAGGCGTCCGTCAAGGACTCGAGCTGACGCTGTTCCTGTCGAATTCCGTTATGGATATATCGTTGAGCATAAGCCCTGTAAATCTGACTTCCTGGGGGTCGTCTGGTCGACTTGGAGTGTGCAGTTAACTGGAGACTCTAACAAAATGCAGGGTCTGCTGAACGTCTTCAGAACAAATCTAAGTATATTCGGTTGATATGAGTAGGTAAGCAGAGAAAACGGAGAGTTTCAACCTTTTTTCATTCATCATTGCATGATTCAGCCGAATAATGCATATACGACTGTCAACTGGAATGCAGTTGCGCGGTGCACTTTCTTCCTTTGCTGAATGCAAAATCTACAACTCTAAGACCACGAGGACTAACCATCTAGCCTTTTGAAAGTAGAATGATGCATTTTGAAGATCTAACATATTTCCCAGGTACGGATGAATGGATGTCTACACCTGGATTTTGTATGTGCGTTCCCCAAGCCTAACATAAATCTATAGCTCGAATGGTCAGAATTTTTGCTAATTTTGTCACTTTCGATGGATCATGAAAATATTAAAAGCTACAATATACAGTTTGGAGACAAGAGGTTATGTTCCGGGACCTCAAATTAATAACAATTGATGCCAATTGCATAAAAGGTGATTATCGTACCTTAGTTGCCTGGTGCATAACATTTTCACGTTTGAATTGCTTTAGAGCCCTGGTGAAAGCAGCATCATTCATCAAGATTCAGATATATCCAGTTGACGAATCTCTAACAGGACTAAACGCACGTTATGGATCGCACAACTAACTGCTAATTAAATTACAATAAATTAGTATGGGAATATTCATCGAGATATGTGAAAAAAAGATTGAAAAGGAAAGATGCAGAAGTTTGGTAGTGGTTTGAAGGAATTTATATGGCGAAATAGTTGTAAGAGTGCCCATACCACAGAACGTCACTTCTTTAGGTAGGCTAAAAAATATTGGATTAGTAATGATGGTGCATGACCACAGGTTGGTTACATCCAACCTTTCTAGAAGCTTGAAAGTTAACAATGATTGTGTTAGATAGAGCTGGAAAATTTGTGTCATCGGGATTAGAAGACCTCTGAACAAAGTGGAGTGTGCTTTTTTTCTACCCCTCCTTCCTCATAAGAAAGGCAACATCAACATGGTACCAAAACTCGTCATCCATATTGCTGTCATACTCTATTCAGCTAGTAGTAAGATCATTATTATAGCGTAGAAATCGATACTATAATAGTATCTTTTGTTTTACAGCTATCCAACAGACCTTCTTAAAATAATGAGATCTCTACAAGCAGATCCCTCTGAATCATTGCTACCCCGATCATCATATCGAGACAACGGTTATCAATGCGAGTTCAAACCTAAAACTTGATACTGATGCTTCATATATATCTCATTAGGAATGGAAAAGCTGATCTCGGCTATAGAAAGCCAATAAAACTGAGTATCAACACTTCGTCTAAATAAAGTATTACCTAAAAATAAAATACTTTTAAGATGTGATACACAATGTTGAAAAAAATAATTTATTCGAGATATATTGAAGAATTATGTAACCTGAAATGGTCATTAGAAACAGTCCAGTTTAGTTATGTATAGTAATGATAGGCAGTGGAATCCAGGTTGCGCACATCGTCACCTGGATGTGTCTGCCTCCCAGTGAATGATGTTGTTCCCGCCAGGGTTCGAACGCGGGAGCGTTATTTACTAAGCCACTGAGCCACAATAGCCACCTCTTGTGCGATCGGTATAAGTTTAGTGTTATTGCTTGTATTACACCATCGTTGATTGGACTGAACTGACCAGTCTCTGTTGAGAACATCACTCACTGAGTGGCAGTTACATCCAGCTGACGAGTCTCAAATAGGATGAAATGTGCATCCTGGATTCCACTGCTACCCACTGCCCATCAGTTCTATACATAACTGAAACACAAGCAATATGAAGGTATCCATACAGGAGCCCATATGTCAACAGAGACTGATCAATACAGTCCAATCAACGACGGTGTAATACAAGCAATAACACTAAACAGTTCAGTTAGTTTCATTTTTAAAATACTTACGTCATAGCCTGAAATATTGGCTCAATTCCATAACGAATAGCAAATTCATCAACAATCTCCTGCCCTAATGGATTGAAGTATACTCTCCATGCTTCACTACCCTAGAACATAGACAAAAGTACATAATATTGATATGAATAATAATTTGTTTAGTAGAAAATCAAGGAAAGATTAAGTAAAATTAAAATATTTTTGTATAATCTTAGTTTTCCTAGTTGATATTCATCATGGACTGATATCAGCTGATAGAACAATGGAAATTATGATGAATCCCAATCTTTAAAAAATTGATTAATAAACCTTCACAAACTTCCATATAGAATTAATCTAGCGCTCATTGGTAACTAGTTTCGAGAGATGATTCCCGAAATTCTAATGAAAAGTCGTGATATGATCAGTGGAGTCAAACAAGTGGAACATGAGGACAGTTACTCAACGATTACATTGGATGTAGGTCGCGATATATCATGAACTTATATATAAGTGGGAAATGTGAGCCATTGGATTCCGACCCAGTAGACCAATGGTAAGTTGCTGGTCACGGAACCTGAAGATAGTAGGTTCAACCCCTAGTGTGGTCATGAGTGCTCATTGGTGTTCAGTGCTACAACGTTTCTTCAACTGATGAGATCCAGCATAAAACTGAATTTATTCAAAATACTCTTCTCCTTTCTATGGTTAAATTTACATTGAATTACAAGTTAGTAGTTAGTAACAGGGAATTGATGAGTATCACTAACAAAGTTGTCGAAAATGTGATTCAGTTGAAAACGTTTCTTATCCCATGTCAGTATCATTAATTTTTCTAAAAACATGTAACGAAAATATCATGACATAAGACAAAAACGCTCAGTTTGTTAGCTTCATTACAAAGTAATTACAGTAGTTCTAAAAAAATTATTATAAATATGATCAAAAATAGAAATATACTCAGAAATCTTATCTACGTATTAATGCAGTACCAGGCAGTGAGCTACACACACCCATCACCTGACTATCTAGATCTCCGTAGGTGGAGAGGGACTCGAACTAGTATCCTATTGGTTGAAAGTTGCCTCCTTAAACTGGTTAACCACAGCTCAATGGAGCAAAAGGTAAGAAATACTAAATTCTCTTACCTACAGTATAAACACTAATAAACTCTAACTAGTTGGATGACTACACTCTGCCAACAATATATACGGATAATCATCACTCTCTGATACCAAAGGGAGAAATGAATGACAACTATGAACCACTGGAGAACAGTTATTTCCCTGATGGGGTTCATTGCAATGGACTACTGAGGAGTTCCAGACTAGGAAGAATAAGCTGTCGAGTACTCTTAGATTTTCAGTGATTCATTCAGTTCATGATGAATACCAAATTGAAAATATGAATCATTCTGAAAGAGGAATGACACCTGAAAACAGAACCCATGACCTTGTACTTTTATACAGAAAATGTGGCTTCAAAATGCTGAAATATTTACTGACACTTCAACTGTGTACATTGTGATACTATCAAGAAAGCAAAATAACCCCTTAGATCAATGTTAATATTTGGAAGTGGTTAGGAGTGGAATCCAAGATATGTACTTTATTCAAGGCGAGAATAATCGCCTGAATTTAACAAAAAAAGTCCATATTGATGTCTTCAGCAATCGATTAACATATCAAAGTGCTAGGCTACTGAGTTGCCATGAATTAATATAAACGAGGTATCTTTTCTCTTAGAAGTATACTATCGAGTTAGACAATGTAAAATTCAGTAGTCATTAAGTATTATTATCAACTTACACTGGTTTGTAAATTTGTGATACTTGTTCTATCAGGTAAGAACACTGGCTCATTTTCTTTGCATAGATGACAAAATATACTCTAAAATTCCAAGAATTAGAAAATATAAAGAAAGTGTAATCAATCGGAACAGTTATAACTCTATGGTAGTCAGTAATCAATCTCTCCCTTTCTCCACCTACCCTATTGTGTGGCTGTGTGTTAATTCATGCATTGCGACAGTCGAGTCACTTTCTAGATTAGTGATCTTATTGGGGTCTATCATTCTATATTTAGATAAATTCCCATGTTCCCCTATTCTAAATGACCCCTACCAGCTAGATTGGCCTTTGTACTTGACCTGACTCACAGTCATTACATGCAGTTTGATAGATTAGATTATTTTGTTGAATTCGTTCTATCAGAGTCTTAAGCCAGCCGACGAAGCTTACCTCTAAATGAGTTTATAGGTTTGAATGCCACCCCAACTAATTCCAACTTTGTTGATGATCCCAAGTAAAGTTTCTGATGTTGCTTCTTGGTAGGGTAAGACAATGGAGACTGTGAACTCCTTTCTACTTGTCTCATCGTTATTATTTCGTTTCTTATGTATTTGTACGAATCCCTTAGTAAACTGTAGAGGATAATTATTAAGGCTTCTTTTACATGTTTCAATTGTTCGTTGAAGTCCTTCCACTGATTAGTGAGTTTTCTAGCTCTATCATTTAGATATTTGACTGAACCTGCCTTCACTGACTGACATTGGATGACATGACTTGAAGTGTAGAATACCTGTTAGAATGTGTTGGTTTTCTGTGGACGGTAGGTAGTATCCGAACCACAGTCTGTTCTTCGTTTATCCTGAAATCAAAGGTAGGTAACTCTCCTTGTTCATTTTCTACTTCCTCGTAAGTGAATTGGATTGCGACTACTACTGAGTCTATATGTGTGAGAAGAATGGAGTTGACGGCCTGCACTGTATTACTCTACAAGGAAGGTACATCAGAAACTTTACTTGGGATCATCAACAAAGTTGGAATTAGTTGGGATGGCATTCAAACCTACAAACTCACTTAGGGATAAGCTTTGTCGGCTGCCTTAAGACCCCGATGGAACCAATTCAACAAAATAATCTAATCTATCAAACTGCATGTAATGACTGTGAGTCAGGTGAAGCACATAGATCAAACTAGTCAGTCGGTGTTATATTAGAATAGTGCAACATAGGAATTTAACCAAATATACAATGATAGACTTCAATAACACTAACTAAATAACCAACTGACAAAATAACTAACTAACTAGCTAAATACTGTGTACTTCAGAGCATTCATTACCGAAGTCAAACATCATCCAATTCTTAACATTTCATCGTGTACTCATAAATTACAGGGAGGCGGTTTTCATTGAAGCTTCATACTTGATACTGAGGTGGTATGAGAGCAGGGAGAGAGAGGGAGAGAGAGGAAAAGATGCAGAATTATTTCCCACCATATATAGTCACTAAACATATCGATTTATATATGCAGACAGAATTACAATTTTGATACTTTGACTATCAATGCCGATTATAAGTGTTCATTTCGCATAATATTATTACTAGTCACGCAACAGGCTTAGAAAGATCATATATATTCAAGATGCTTGCTCAGTAAAGTGTGTGTGTGTGTGTAGACAGGTATCTGAGAAGGAGAAATCGACAAACGGAACTATTTCGGATTCAATATTAGGTAGATTGTTATCTGACGCATTGACTGATTGGAAGACAGTTATCCTTTTGTAGATTAAGGTCTACAGGGATATTTATTTTTAGGTAGTATTGATCAAGAACTGATATTAGTTGGAGAGCCATCAAAAACCTTGAAGCATTGGGCCATTTTTTCATCCTACTATGAGACTCGTCAGTAGCACAGACCCACTACACCACCAGGTGTCGAACTCAGAAACTTTAGGTTTCATTGCGAAGTGACACATGGACATTTAAAATTATGTCTTGTAGTTTTCTTACTGGTAGCTAGCAGTGAGAGATAAGATGTATGTTTCATCCTATTTGGGACCGACTCATCAGTCGAAAGTATCTGCTTCCCAGTGACCCATGTTTTTCCAACTGACACTCGAATGTCGCACTCATCATCTACTTAAACAACTTAGAAATGACAATTATCAACGATTAAATAACGAGAACCATTGTAAATGGAGTGGTTCTCTTGACTGAGTAACCTAGTGTATGACGTCCAGGCGTTTAAAACGACGGCTGCTGTTTTTTAAATCGCAATGACAACAACATCAGTCACTTGGGTGTAGATACATTCAGCTGATGACTCACTGCCTAGTAGGGCGAAACGCGCATCCTGAATTCCACCACTAGCCTCTACAAGGCAAATTGAAGCATTATAAATCATCGCGCAGTATCAAGGCATTCGCATAGCAAGCAGTTTATGTACCGGCAGAGGTAGATCGATTTAATTTCGCATAATAAGCTGCATAAATTACAAGAATCAATCTTCATGAAATCAAATGTCTTCAACTGAAAAACATGTTACGTGAATTGACTAGCCTTTGCTCAGAAAAAAACTAAACACTTACACCATGTAATGCTGTGTATTGTACATGAAATGATGCCATCTGCTCTTCACCTTTTATCTCAACAGATATTTGTAGACGGATTGCTCCAGAGACTGCTGATTTGTCTGTTCGTTTTTCTATCGATTCAACAGAAGAAAAAAAGATAGATAACATGTTAAATTGATTATCATTAGGTGTATAAATAGTTTTTATCAAGGAATTACATAATCCGAAACACTTTTAGAAACTATATAAGATGTGACTGTGATATATGGCATGGACACAAAGCTTATCACGAATCAAGATGACAGGCAAACGGAAGTAAGTAATAGATCAGATGTATTATATTCCAATAACTACCCTAGGAATATCGTTCAAAAGATCCCAAAACATGAACAGTGGGACCCAAGAAAAAATTCAAATGACGATTCTTGGATTGGTAGTTCTGCCATTGGTAGTTCTACCATTCCGCCAAGGTACAACCGAAGAGTTACAAAGAATCTAAAGAAAGCACCGAATCAGGACCTTTTACAAGACAACCAACACTCTGAGGGGATGCTCTAGTCTATATAAAAGATAAAGTCCCTTTTATCTCCATACAAAATTGTGTCTACAAATTAGGCTGTTTCAACTGTGATGCTTATTATATTGGATAATCATCCCATGAGATCCTCATTAGGGCTAAAGAACATTCAAGTTACACAAAACGGCCGCCAAATAATCCTATAGAACTAGAGAACCTACAAATCAAGTCGGCGATCGCTGTCCATGCCATATATCATAGTCACAAAATCAATATTGAAAATATTAAAATTATTCAAAAAGGATTTTTAAACTACAAAGAGGGAAGAATAGCAGAGACATTTCATATTATGTTGAATCGTAATCCACTCCAGAGAAAGGAAGGCCTAACTATTCAACCAACTTGGACAGTATTTCCCAAAAACAACAAATGATCTAATCGAAAGTACATACACACAAACAAACCGGAGTTTGTCATCCACATTATTTATTTATTATTTTTTCACCTTGAACTCCAGACTAATTAACTCATAAATGAAAAAAAAATTGTAAACGTGTCCTGACCAGTATAAAGATGACATTCACGTTCATATTATCATCATGTATAGATGACAATGTGATCTGATACGTCACCTTTTACTATTTTAACTATTCGATAACTTGATAACTTATTCTCTGAAGAAGCGATTTCAACGAAGCAGCGAAACGTCAGAAAGTTATTACTTTTCTACTTAATTGGGATTTTACAAAATGTATATTTCATTTATAATCCAATTACTCAATGCTCAACTTATTCAACTCTATCAGGTCAAATTTTGATCCTGAAATTTACAAAGATATGTAAACATTGGATGATAATTGGAAGTGAAATGAAAATTTGTGACGAGGTCAGATTCGAACCAGCAACCACCGAGTTTCCGTCTAGGTGCTCTATCGGCCGAGTTATCTCAGTCAAGATGATATTCTACATGATGCTCCCCCTGTCTCTAATTCATTTGGATTTAGATTGGGATCAGAAATCTTGACTGGGCTGCAGGTGTGAGTACGTACGATCAAGCGGCAGTAATGCACCACGAACCGATATGGTAGTCGGGCAAAACCCTTGGTGACTGAAATGAATTAAAAATCTAGTCAGCAATCAGACCCTATAGCCCAATAGGTGAGGAGTATCAAGCCGGAAAAACGGTGATCACTGGTTCGAATCTGGCCTAAGTCCAAATTTCCACCTTACCTTCAGTCATCACCCAATATTAATACTAGTCCACCAAACCATGGTTACTACCTTAGATAATCAAAATGATAAAAGTAACTTAGTGAATAACTTACCAAGATTATACCAGACATCCATTTCACCACTCAATGTTCGTACTTCAATAATTGTCTGTCCAAGGAAATCATCTGATTCTCTTGTAAATTTCTGTCTGATTTTCGATTTCAAATCATTGTCTTCATCCCTATAAAGAAGGGTGAACAGGCATACACTACATAAGGTAGTCTACAAAAAACTTAATTAGATGAAGAAAAGCCAGGAGAGGAGGAATATTATTCCACGCATTTCAACACACACATGCGCCACGATGCTTCACATCTGATGACAGATGTACCCGATATTAACTTACAATGAGGTGATATTTAGATTCAGAAACATTAAAGTGATCAAAGGCTATAATACAGTTGGAGGATACAGATAATAATAATAATAATTATTATTATTTAACCCTTGGGTTCCTAGTAGAACATAAGGCTTCAGTAGCACTTCACCATTTCGATCTCTTATCTGCAGTCTTTTCAACCTCGCTGCATGACTGTCCATAACCACTCATTTCTTCCTGACACCATCTCCTCCATGTCACCCACACCTCAGACGCTCAACTCGAGGTTTTCCATTCTTGTTCCACTCGACGCCTTAGCATGTTATGTCCCAAAACAGTCTTCTCAGTGTATGCCCAATCCAATCCATCTCAACTTCCTTCTTCTGCATATTTCTTGGACGATGGGTTTTTGGATGTTTCGTTGCCAGAGTTCCTTGTTGCTCATGCTTATTATTCTGGCCATCTCATCTGATCTTCAGTATCGAGCCACCATAGCTGGCAGATGTTGATAAATGTCTGTGGTTTGCTGAAAATGCTTTTCGTGATGCGCCAACTTTCTCAACCATCACATAGAAGCACTGACTTGACTGACGTATTGTTGAAAATCCGGATCTTGTTCTTTGTGCTGAGTGGAGTGGAGTGGAGTGGAGTGGAGTGGATCTCTACACTGATTTCAGATTAATGAGAGCCTGTCTTGCTTTCTTCATCACTTCTGTCTTCTCTACATTCACTTGAAGGTAGTTCCGTTTTCGCTACCTCTTCTGTTAACTTGTTAGTTTTTGCCTGTAGATCTTGGAGTTTGTGAGGCATTAGACATAAGTCATCGGCGAACTCCAAATCTCCTAAGGTCTTTTCATCGGTCAGTCCAGCGTATGCCAGTCTTCTCGCTCCTCACGGTTTGCTGCATGATCCAGTCGACCACAATCAGGAAGAATACAAATAATATACGACCCTAAATGAAGTCCATTTATTCAAGTTGGCATATTGTAAAACTACTAATTTGAAAAGTACTTCAAGTATGTAGCTCTTCTCAGATTTTGCTGTACTGTGTTAGTTAGTTGAAAGTAATCAGAAGGATATCCTCCCTAATCTAGGTTGTGGACTTGTTGGCACTCATCAATAGCACATATCTTCAACCTTGAAGGAAGGGATATCTTCTGTAAGGTGGGCAACTGTGGTGGTCGGGGTCCTAACTTGCTGGCTACATTGCAAATACGATCGTGTGTTTTTCAGGTAACGAATAATCATAAACAATATTCCCAATATGCGATTAAGTTTACTTTTTTTCACCTCCGGATTCTTTTTTATTCAATCATTCTCTTCTCTCCTAAAATAGTTATTATCGACTATTTTGGATCTTAACATGTGCAAAAATGTCTTTTGCCAGCTTTTTAACAAAATTTACTTCACTTATTTGTAGTACTGACTTTTCTTGAAACTAGATAACTAGTCTAATCAATGTGTGATTTTGCTACTCACATATTTCTAGATAGCCAGCACCAATTAATTAGTACATGTTGAACCTATGAAGATAACTTCAGGAGTGAACGATTGTTTCATCGATTCGATATCCACCGTATTAGCAGTTTTCCCAGACTTATTCTGTTGACTAGAATGAATTGCTTAGACTATCGAGATTTCGGCTAGCTACCCCTGAGGACTAGTGTAAATGTCTTCAACATACTTGACCCAAGTGACATTGACATATTAAGTTAGAACTGACTTAATGGCTCAATGGTAAAGTGCTGGCCACCGGACCGGAGGGTCCTCTGCTCGATCCCTTGTGGGGTCATGTATGAGCGCTGCTCAAGATTCCTACACTAGAACGAAACAGTTGGCTGTCCAGTGCTTTCAAGTTTCCAATGTTCCTCCAGCTAATGTCAGTTCATAATGAATAGCAACTTGTAAAATCGATTTGCAGAATTTCACTATGGCTTTCTTTGTAAAGCATGACAACCTCGTTGTTTGATAATAGTAATGCTTTGAAAGTGTTGAGCACAAGAGTTGTATAACATATCCTACCTACAGATGTAAGTAAACAGTTTTAACGTATCCTCATCAGTAAAGGGATTCTCGTTACCATATTTTTTAATACTTTGATGTACAATTTTACAGAATAAATACCTTATAGCTTAACTTGGAAACCGTTAGCTGTCATCAAGAAAGACAGATTGACCTTAAAAACCTCAAACATTATTTTTTTTTCTTTCTGGAGTTTGAAGCGATCACTCCCGAGTCCGAGTCCCGATGGGAACAATACTCAGCGGGAAACAGGTACATCCAGCTGACGAGTCCTTAATAGGACGAAATTCGTATCCTGGATTCCAATGCTAGCCACTATCCCTCATTACTACCATTTTTTCTTTCTGTCTAAAATCTCCAGAAATGAAACCAAAGTCTCCTACGCCTACCTGGATCTGGTACACAGTAGCGTAGGATGGTAATAAAAAAACAATAAATAAAAGTTACTACTCACTCATCGTTAACGGAAGGAAGCTGATAGTCATATAGGTTAGTATTTTCCCATCTACTCTGTCTATCTACTTTATGAGAAAGTGAGATGATAGAAAACATCTACACAAAAACTGCTCAATACTTGATAGGAATGTTAAAAGAGACTGTTCATTTCAACAGTTGTTCTCAAACTCAACAAACATACTGAAACTTTACACTAGTTGACTTTAAGCAGTTGACTATACTGAGTTTATCGAAAGATTTAGCTACCTGAGTTAATAGAAAGATAATTTTTTTGTTACAACTTGACATCTGGGAGTTAGATATTGTCTTCTCCAGATTGTAACTTCCTGACACAACTCACTTTAATTTTGCACTCATTGACACGAATTCATGGATTGGCACATACAATGTCAGTCACTTCGTAATGCGGTGTCATTCATTCATCGTCCTAAACTGTTAACAGTGACTTTTAGGTCATGGTGCCGAATTCTTTCCCAAGACCTCTTTGACTGAATAAGCTACATGAGAATGGCTGTATTCCGATTTCTGTGAAAAGAAATGATATACTGTTTACAGAGGGAAGTGCTCCACCCCATTGTTTACTGTGGCCGTTCCTCAACGAGCCATCCTTTCCCTCCCTCTTTTGCCTTTCTTTCTGCATGACTTTTTATCTCCAGGCAGTATCAATTTTATCAAATATACTGATGACCTGACAGTTTCCATACCCGTCTCCTCTTCAACAGATTGTTTCCAACTGAATGATTTCCTGTCTACTGCTAGACGATGGTCTTCCATGAATGGTCTTATGCTTAGTTCTTTAAAATGTCAGGGTGTACTTTCGTTTTAGACGTCAACAAAACCTGTAAAAACTGCTTAGTTCTCGTGATTCCTGTTCTGTTGATGGTTGTGTATTGGAGAATGTTACAAGTGTGCTTTATCTCACCAAGTACTTTTCTTCGGACTTTTCCTGACCCTCCCATTTCTCTACCAATTTCCAAAAGAATCTTACACGTATCCTACTACATTAGAAAGCTGAAAGTATCAGGTATAATTCAGACTCTTCTCTCCTGTTTCATGATCCCCTGAATTTTGCATATTCTTCTATATTGTTACCCTTGTTGCTGAAAAAAGACTATGCTGTATTGCTTAGAACTTTGAAAATTGTCAGCAAAACTAGAGTGGTATATCTGTAAACCTTCTGATTGAAACTGTTGTGGACAAACGTATTAACTCATGTAGACATCTGGTAGGAGTTATTTTATCACATGACCAGTATCCTCTTCACTCATATCTCCCTACGTGTCGGTCTTCAGAGGAAGGGCAAGGAGCAAATATACAAGACTTTATACACGCAATACTAAATATGAAAAGTTCACAATAAAAACCATGTTTACCTCGTCTTTTATGCGACGAAGAGAGTGTTAGAAATGAACTAACTAACCGACATTTTTCTTGAAGCAAAGTAACTGAAGATTACACAGCTTGCTATTATCTTAGTAGTATGAATCTAATTGCTAATGTGACTGTTCATCACCAAAGTAAATTCTGGATTTTCAAGAAAGTTGTAGATGGAGTAATTTCTACTTATTTTATTATGTTTATATATCACCCTATTCCTCTCCAACTTAAGTTATATGATAGGCTGGAAATTTTGCACAGTATTCCTGAAACAGTTTCCATAATGAAGCCATTATTATTATTATTATTATTATTATTATTATTATTATTATTATTATTATTATTGGTTGCTCTGAGAGGTAACGAGTTCATTTCACTACAAAATATACCACTGAACTACTTGAATAGTTGGAAATTACTCAGATTAATCTGTTGATTTTAACCGACCGGCCGGCCAGCTAGATAAGATTAATCTAAACACCAGACGGCGTTTTCAGTCTTTTATGGCTAAGTCAGCTGATCAGCGGTTTATTCGGATAAATTCACCTCATAGACAGACAGACACACAAACAACATAGAACCTTGTACACATGTGTATCAGTTCAAGATGCCACGCTTCACATTAGTATACAAAAAATAGACGAATTACTTCAAATCATCTGAGTCTGGTTGGCCAGCTGACTTCCACAGATCCTTCGATATACCTAAAATAGGATGGCCAACTTGCTTATGATTTACAAATTGCATGGTCAATGTTGACATTTCTCACAACTGAGTAGTTTTCCAACTGCCAGCCAATTGTGGTGCCAGTCCAACAAGGTTTGCTTTGAAAACCACTTCTCAGCCAAGATAACAGTGTGTGTGATCTCTGACACAGTGGTGTGAGAAGTTAGGGACCAGTCAGGGGGATCTGTAGATTTCATCGCCACTAAACCTTTGATAAGCTTTGCTGCAAACCAGCATCATTGTGATTTGGTTGACTAGTGAAATATTACACATCAAGCTGA